AGTGGCACATAAATACGGAGTTCTATAAATAGCCGCGGTGGGGGAGGGGCGGGGGGCGCTGCCGGCCCCTCCCCCCACCCCGGGCTCGGCTCCGGCTGGACGCCGAATAANGAGGGGCGGGTTATAAATACGGAGTTCTATAAATAGCCGCGGTGGGGGAGGGGCGGGGGGCGCTGCCGGCCCCTCCCCCCACCCCGGGCTCGGCTCGTGCTGAACGCAGAATAAACCCCGGCTGTGACCCCGCCCACCGCCTGGCCACGCCCCCCGGGGGCTGGGGGGAGCGGGGTGGGCGTGGTTAGCGTGGGTGGGCGTGGTTAATGTGGGGGTGGGCGTGGTTAGGGTGGGGTGGGTGGAGCTCTCACGAGGTGGGCGTGCTTAGCGTGGAAATGGGCGTGGCTACCATTGGGATGGGCGTGGCGATCAGGATGGGCGTGGCTGCCATGGGAGTGGTCACGGCTACCAATGGAATAGGCGTGGCTACTGTGGGGTGGGCGTGGCTACCATAACCAGGGGCGTGGCTACCATAACTATGGGCGTGGCTACTGTCAAGACAGGCGTGTCATGGCGATGGGTGTGGCTACCACGAGGGTGGGCGTGGCTACAATAACCATGGGCGTGGCTACTGTCAGAATGGGCATGACCACCACGGGATGGGTGTGGCTATCATGGGGTGGGTGTGGCAACCATCTGCATGGGCGTGGTCACCGTGACTGGTCACGTGGGGCCGGAGGCCACCAGGAGGTGGCTATTGGCCACTGGTGGGTGGGCGTGGCTACCTTGGGATGGGCGTGGCCACGATGGCAGTGCCTGCCTGTGCTCATCATGGCGGCAGGGGCTGCCCAGAGCCCGGGGGGAGGGGAATTCCCGTTTTTTAAAGCCCTTTTGGGCCGTTTCGCCCAAATTTCGGCGTTTTGGGAGCGAGGGGGCGGAGCTGGAGGACTGAGGGACGATAGAGACGGGCCCTGGAGGACTGAGCGTCACTTCCGGGTGTGCGGAAGAACCATCGAGAGAAACGCTGGAGGACTGAGCAGAGCTTCCGGTTTCGTTGGGAGGAAACCATAGAGATGTGCCTGGAGGACTGAGAATCACTTCCGGCCCGCCCAAGCATCGAGTTCTCCCCGCCCTTACCCACGTGACCCTATAGCTGGTTATGATTGGTGGCCGAGAGACGCTCCGAACCAATGAGAAGGCGGGGCGGGCACTGTGGGCGGGTCACGTGACCGGAAAGGGGAAGCGGGCGAGCGTCGCTATGGTGAGAACTGGGATGGGGAACTGGGAGAGACTGGGGGGGACTGGGAGGGACTGGGGGTGTCCCTAAATGTCCCTAAGTGTCCCGAGGTGTCTCCAAAATGGCCCGAAATGTCCCCAAAGTGGCACTGAGTGGCCTCCAAGTGGCCCCAAAGGGCTCAAAATGGGCTCAGAATGGGCTCAAATGGCCCCAAAATGTCCCCAAATGTCCCAAAGGACTCAAAATGGCCCCAAATGTCCCCAGTGGAGGTGGCCCTGTCCCCACTGTCCCCAGTGGTGTTCGGCAAGCACTCCCTCCTGTCCCTGTCCCTGGGGACCCCAGGGGTGGCTCCGGGGACACCAGGGGTGGCAGTGTCCCCATTGTCCCCGCTGTCCCCAGTGGTGTTCGGCGAGCACTCCCTGTCCCTGTTCCTGGTGGCTCTGGGGACCTTGGGGACCCTGAGGTGGCTCTGGGGACCCTGGGGTGGCTCTGGGGACCCGGGGTGGCTCTGGGGACCTTGGGGACCCCGGGGGTGGCTCTGGGGACACCGAGGGTGGCAGTGTCCCCATTGTCCCCGCTGTCCCCAGTGGTGTTCGGCAAGCACTCCCTCCTGTCCCTGTCCCTGGGGACCCCAGGGGTGGCTCCGGGGACACCAGGGGTGGCAGTGTCCCCATTGTCCCCGCTGTCCCCAGTGGTGTTCGGCGAGCACTCCCTGTCCCTGTTCCTGGTGGCTCTGGGGACCTTGGGGACCCTGAGGTGGCTCTGGGGACCCTGGGGTGGCTCTGGGGACCCGGGGTGGCTCTGGGGACCTTGGGGACCCCGGGGGTGGCTCTGGGGACACCGAGGGTGGCAGTGTCCCCATTGTCCCCCCTGTCCCCAGTGGTGTTCGGCGAGCACTCCCTCCTGTGACTGTCCCTGGTGGCCTTGGGGACCCTGGGGGTGGCTCTGGGGACACAGGAGGTGGCTCTGGGGACCCCGGGGTGGCTCTGGGGACCCCGGGGGGTGGCAGTGTCCCCATTGTCCCCACTGTCCCCAGTGGTGTTCGACGAGCACTCCCTGTCCCCGTCACTGTCCCTGGGGACCCTGGGGTGGCTCTGGGGACACCGAGGGTGGCTCTGGGGACACCAGGGTGGCCCTGTCCCCATTGTCCCCACTGTCCCCAGTGGTGTTCGGCGAGCACTCCCTCCTGTCACTGTCCCTGGGGACCCCGAGGGTGGTTCTGGGGACCTTGGGGACCCCGGGGGTGGCCCTGGGGACCCTGGGGTGGCTCTGGGGACACCGAGGGTGGCTCTGGGGACCTTGGGGACCCTGGGGGTGGCTCTGGGGACCCCGGGGGTGGCCCTGTCCCCAGTGTCCCCGCTGTCCCCAGTGGTGTTCGGCGAGCACTCCCTGTCACTGTCCCTGGGGCCACCGGGGGTGGCTCTGGGGACCTTGGGGACACCGGGGGTGGCTCTGGGGACCCCGGGGTGGCTCTGGGGACCCCAGGGGTGCATCTGGGGACACCGAGGGTGGCAGTGTCCCCATTGTCCCCAGTGGTGTTTGGCGAGCACTCCCTGTCCCCGTCACTGTCCTCAAAGTGGCCCCAAAGGGCTCAAAATGGGCTCAGAACGGCCTCAAATGGCCCCAAAATGTCCCTGAATGTCCCCAAGTGTCCCCAGGTGTCCCCAAAATGGCCCTAGATGTCACCAGTGTGGCACTAAGTGGCCTAAAATGGCCCCAAAGGGCTCAAAATTGGCTCAAAACAGCCCCAAATGGGCTCAAAACGGCCTCAAATGGCCCCAAAGTGTCCCCAAATGTCCCAAAGGACTCAAAATGGCCCCAAATGTCCCCAGTGGAGGTGGCGCTGTCCCCACTGTCCCCAGTGGTGTTCGGCGAGCACTCCCTCCTGTCACTGTCCCTGGGGACCCCGAGGGTGGTTCTGGGGACCTTGGGGACCCCGGGGGTGGCCCTGGGGACCCTGGGGTGGCTCTGGGGACACCGAGGGTGGCTCTGGGGACCTTGGGGACCCTGGGGGTGGCTCTGGGGACCCCGGGGGTGGCCCTGTCCCCAGTGTCCCCGCTGTCCCCAGTGGTGTTCGGCGAGCACTCCCTGTCCCTGTTCCTGGTGGCTCTGGGGACCTTGGGGACCCTGAGGTGGCTCTGGGGACCCTGGGGTGGCTCTGGGGACCCGGGGTGGCTCTGGGGACCTTGGGGACCCCGGGGGTGGCTCTGGGGACACCGAGGGTGGCAGTGTCCCCATTGTCCCCCCTGTCCCCAGTGGTGTTCGGCGAGCACTCCCTCCTGTGACTGTCCCTGGTGGCCTTGGGGACCCTGGGGGTGGCTCTGGGGACACAGGAGGTGGCTCTGGGGACCCCGGGGTGGCTCTGGGGACCCCGGGGGGTGGCAGTGTCCCCATTGTCCCCACTGTCCCCAGTGGTGTTCGACGAGCACTCCCTGTCCCCGTCACTGTCCCTGGGGACCCTGGGGTGGCTCTGGGGACACCGAGGGTGGCTCTGGGGACACCAGGGTGGCCCTGTCCCCATTGTCCCCACTGTCCCCAGTGGTGTTCAGTGAGCACTCCCTCCTGTGACTGTCCCTGGTGGCCTTGGGGACCCTGGGGGTGGCTCTGGGGACCCCGGGGGTGGCAGTGTCCCCACTGTCCCCGCTGTCCCCAGTGGTGTTCGGCGAGCACTCCCTGTCCCTGTCCCTGTCACTGTCCCTGGTGGCTCTGGGGACCCCGGGGCTGGCTCTGGGGACCCCGGGGGTGGCTCTGGGGACCCTGGGGGTGGCAGTGTCCCCATTGTCCCCATTGTCCCCGCTGTCCCCAGTGGTGTTCGGCGAGCACTCCCTCCTCGTCACGGTCTCGGGACAGAAACTCTTCGTGGTCAAGCGCCACCACCACGTCCAGGAGCCGGTGGCCGTGTGAGGAATGTCCCCGAGCGTCCCGGGTGGCCCTGGTGACCGTCCCTGCTGTCCCCTGCTGTCCCCCGCTGTCCCCTCGCTGTCCCCTCGCTGTCCCCCCACTTCCCCACACTGTCCCCAGGCTGTCCCCCCGCTGTCCCCACTGTCCCCACACTGTCCCCTTGCTGTCCCCCCGCTGTCCCCCGCTGTCCCCTCGCTGTCACTTGACGGGTGGCACCACGAGCACCTTGCACTCCCTCTTGGCGATCTTGTCCAGGGCCAGCACGGCTTTGTCACCCGCGGGCAGGTACAGGGGGCGGCCCACGGGGGACCCCACGGGGGGCGTGATGGCCCTGCGCTCCATCACACTGCCGGACCTGGGGACAGTGACATTGGGGACAGCAGTGTCACCTCTGTGTCACCTGTGTGACCCACAGTGTCCCTGTAACAGCCCCAGTGTCCTTGTGTCAGTTACAGTGTCCCTGTGTCACCCTGTGTCACCCCAGGGTCATGGCCCTGCGCTCCATCACACTGCCGGACCTGGGGATGGCAATGTCACCTCAGTGTCAGTCACCTCTGTGTCACCTGTGTGACCCACAGTGTCCCTGTAACAGCCCCAGTGTCCTTGTGTCAGTTACAGTGTCCCTGTGTCACCCTGTGTCACCCCAGGGTCATGGCCCTGCGCTCCATCACACTGCCGGACCTGGGGATGGCAATGTCACCTCAGTGTCACCTCAGTGTCACCTGTGTGACCCACAGTGTCTCTGTGTCACCTACTCTGCCCTGTCCCCAGTTACAGTGTCCCCGTGTCAGTTACAGTGTCCCTGTGTCACCCTGTGTCACCCCAGGGCCATGGCCCTGCGCTCCATGACATTGCTGGACCTGGGGACAGTGACAGCAGTGTCACCTGTGTGACCCACAGTGTCCCTGTAACAGCCCCAGTGTCCCTGTGTCACCCCCTGTGTCACCCCAGGGCCATGGCCCTGCGCTCCATGACATTGCTGGACCTGGGGACAGTGACAGCAGTGTCACCTGTGTGTCACCTGTGTGTCACCTCAGTGTCCCTGTGTGACCCACAGTGTCCCTGTGTCACCTACAGTGTCACCTATGTCACCCAAGGCAGTGCTGGCACCTCCCTATGTCACCCCCAGTGTCCCTTTGTCACATCCCAGTCCCCTCCCAGTCCCCCCC